ATATCATTTTACAGTAAGAATTAACAGGCAAATATATATCTCCCCCAAGACTTTCATTACTTATAATTGTAGCAATTCCAGTTTAAAAGTTACTTGTACTTCCACATTAAATCACCTTGAATTAAATTTTATTTACTATGATTACAATAAGTACTACCTACTATTTTGATGAAGAATAACATTAGAGGCTATAAGTTTCATAAAACTTCTATCACCTTACCCCCTGAACTTGGAGAGTAATGAAAACTTCTCCTTCTAAGTCATTGTTTTTCAGAGGAAATTTGATTTTGAACATTTCTCTGGGTAAAATTAAGCCTCTTCTAAAGCAAACATCAGAGTTATTCTAAGAAATTTGGGGAATAAAGTTCTTTTGATGCAGCATTTCAGAGTTTGAACTCTGACAGCAATGTGGAATGAGGAACTCGGTGAATTTAATTTATAGCTCACAATTTTCTGTTGGATTCTAAATTTAAGACATGGGCTCCTCCCTTTTGGAATTTAAATCTGATATCTTGATAAGTGCTTTCTGGACAAAGGAACACTTAAAGTGCTTGCAATCAGAACACTAGGAGACTTGGCTACTGTATTCATGCAGATTTATTTCCAGAAAGTGTTTGAAGAACTGAAAAAACAATGGGCCTTTAATTATAATTCAATTACACTAGTGAGACTTAAAGAAAAATTCAGGCTGAATAATTTCCCCCACGGTAATAAAGGGAAGATTTGGGGGAAAGCATTAATTAGTGAAGCCACCATTTAGCATTTACTGTTCCCTTTGAGATGTCTGCTTTTTTAAGTATGGAATTTGATTTATTTTGCCACTATAAAACTAAAATAGACTTTTTGTGATTAATGATTTTCTAAATTATAAATAACCATGATTTCTCAAATTGGTCTCTCAAGTAGCAAAACCAGAGTGTACAAAAGGCTCCGTCTCTGTAAAAAACCAGATACTGAACAGTGTTTCACAATCCTGTTTCCAAAAATGTAACGTATTTTTCCAAAAGTACTTCTTTAGCAAGACTCAGAATGATATTTTTCAAATTTTACTTTTTTTTTGTTGAAGCATAATATATACTCATACTCCAAAGAACACAAATGTCATTTTAAATGTTAGTGATTAATTTCCAAACATTCCTGGATTTCCTAGCTAATTTTTAATTTCTAGCTTAATTCTACTGGGTAAGAGAAAATACTTCATATAATTTCAAGCCTTTGAAATTTATGGAGTCTTTTAATGAATCAGTATATTTTGGTAAATGATACATTTGCACTTGAAACAAATTCTGCCAGTGCTTGTTATAATTTCATTAACAAGGAAATCTGTAATAAAAAGAAAATAAGAAAAAAACCCAAATTAAGAACCTAATTGGGCTTACTAGCAGATCATATTCAAGAATGAAGGATTGTTGAATTAGAATAAAGATCAGTTTAAAAAAAAAGAAAAATCCAGTTTAAAAGGAAAAGACAAAATAAAAGGGCAGAAAATGTAGGAAAGAGCTAGACTGGGCATAGTCGGAATATCTAGCATATATCTAATTGCACTACCAGAATCAGAGGAGGAAAGACAACATAGAGTGGAAGCAATACTCAACGAGAGAGAGGTCACTAATTTTTTGAAAGCTGTAAAAAAGAATCAAGTGACAAATTTTAGAAGCTCTATAAGCATCAAAGAGTAGAGATAAACACATCAGAGTAAAATGCTGAAAAGGAGGAACAATAATACTTTATCAATAGAAAATTGGAAATGGTAAAATAAATTGATTATATCAAGTTAGAGGAAAGAAATGATTAACCTGATCTCTACACCCAGCAAAAAAGCCACTAAAAATTAAAGTGAAATGGTATTTACACACTGAGGGGAAAAAAAAGAAAGAAAAGAAAACCTATCACAGCAATGTACATTAAAAGGAATAGTAGAGGGACAGTAATGAGGTCACAAAAAGCAGGGAGGGAAAAAAGATCAGGGAAAAGTGTAAATGTCTAAGGAAATACTAACTCATAATACAAGCAAAAGTAATACTATCTTAATAGTATGTCTAAAATATATGCAGAATTAAATTTCATCTCAGCATCTGACCAGAGGTAAAAGACCTAATTAATGCAGACATAATAACACAAGAATAAACAGTCACTGGGGGAACCACTGAAATAGCAGAAGAAAAGTAACAATTACAAGCTAGTAACTGGCACAGTGTTACATGCATGCCTTACTTAGATTATATATTTTCTATAAGGTTTGCGAACTTAAAAGGTCTTTAGTTTCTTTTTGTTTTTCTATTCTACATTTCTTACCTGAGATGAGCACTTCTGACTATTTGGGAGAAATGCTAAAAGGTGGAAGAACAAATAAGTACAGAGATCTGCAAGCACATTTGATAACATTTCAAAAACTGTTACCTTATCCCATTTGCTTGCACATGTTTTCTTGTAAGACAAAGGCAAAAACTTCTTTTAATTAATTAATTAATTAATTTATTATTATTATTATTTTAATTTTATATATTTTTACATCATTTTTCATTTTTGCACAATGCATGCAGTTTCATCTTGGTTATAGTCCCCATACAATTCCCACCCCCCCTTGTTTTGCTCCTACTTCCTCCTCCCCGCCCCTGTAGTGTGTCTCTGGTTTATAGTTGCTTGTTGGTTTGGAATATTACTCGGCACTCAAAAAGATAAACTCATGCAATTTGCAGCAACATGGATGGAGCTGGAATGGATCATGCTCAGCAAAATAAGCCAGAAAGAAAAAGAAAAATACCAGAAGGCCTCACTCATACCAGGAATTTAGAAAACCTAAATAAGGGACCAGGAAAAAGACTAATTATAATAAAGTAATAATAAAAATCAAAAACCTCTTTGAAAATAATTACATGGTCTATGTTTTATAAGTTTTGGAGTCAAGAGAGGGGTTAGATCAGTTTGGACAGAAAAATAGTGAGCTGGTAAGGATTCAGTCTAGCACAGATGTGACCTGACACTGTTCATGGGGGACAGTTAAGAAGACCAGGGTAACTCTCTGGATCAGAAAGCAGACCGATATGGCTTCTTTTACATATACCATGTCCCTCACTTTTTTCTCCTAGATCCTTGAAATGAGCACGACAGCATAGTCTGAGGGTATACATAAGAGCTATCTTCGTGACTTTCCATTTCAAAAATTGGCATTGGAAGATTAAAGTCAAATCAGGAATATGAGCATTCATAGAGGCCCATTAATACCAAAATTCAGAACTGGTTTTGAGTGGCTAGGAGATTTCAAATCAGAGTCCTCCCTCGTACCTCTTTTTACTGAAGAATGTGAACTAGTGATAGCATATTCATCATTTTTGGTTCCCTTTTCTAAATGTTCTCAACAATTCACAGCTTCTTCTAACCTCCATAACCTTAGAAGAGGATAATAAATCAATATGAATGTGAGCTCAATATTAGTTATTTCACTTCCCAAAGAGACAAAGGAAATGTCACACAGAGCATTCGAAATAAAAGGAACGACCCTCACCTCACACTATTCCAAAAGGAGGATTCATTTAAATACATCTGTTCATCTTTCTCACAAAGACAAATTTTGCAAAAGCCGGCCAAGGAAGGACAGACAATACAGCATGGAAATCCCCTACACACTAGCATGTTTCTCTGGAGCATGCTTATTGTTAATTTATGACTTTGCACCTTTCACAAAAACTATTGGGAAGAAATTCTTCTAGGCACCTTTATTCTTTTGAATGTATGTTCATAAATAAGATAATAGATGGCAGGAAAATTTGGGGGCCACTATGTATTACTTTCATTAACCCCTGAATTCTCACTGACTTCAGAAAAGAAAAAAGTATATGATGAGCACAGCAAGAGCTGCAGAATCAGCTCTCTGCAATCCCCCTTAAAAGTGCTACAGGAATCCAGAGGCCAAACACTAACAGGAAGTTAAAGTATATCTATACACTAGCACTGAACTAAGGGGCTCCTGAGATGCAGAATACCTGTTTCACTAAGTGCTTATAACCTCTTATACATCAAAAGAGGCCTTTTATCCACAAATGATGTGTGTTAAAATAACATGTAATATAAGGTGATCCTTGACTAGGGAAGAATACTAGATTTTTATTTATTTTCTGTCTATTTAATGAAAACGACATCATCAAAACCTGACAGAGTCTGTGGCACAGGCTTTGCACATTAGGTCAGCAATGGGAGGCCACAGCCATCCAACTTTGCAATTTGAGAAAAGACTCCCTGTTCCATCTTAAACAAGTTCAAGCAGAGTGACATTCAGAAGGGAACCATGTTTGCCTTTTAAGTGCTCCATGAATCTTGATACATACAGTATATTATTTAGTCACTCAATGATTAGGTTAATAAGTGGCTAATAATACAGAACCTGAAATCCTATCTGGCACATGATATCCTATCACTGATTTAAATAGACTGACTGGCTAAAGAGACAAATGTGCTTTTGGAGCAAATAAATCTCTCAAGCCCAATGCCTTCACTTCGTGGCTGTATGGATCCAAACAAAGAGCATGTTTGGCCAGAAGTTTCCTCATCTGTAAGACAGGGACAAAATCATCTAAACTGTAAGAATGTTGCAAGTAGCTAATATGTGTGTAAAACATATTGGCTGAGTTACCAACTCAGAGTCTGTGTAGGCCAAGCACTGGGCCCCTCTCATCTATTTTTCCCTTTTCTGTCATTAAATATGAAAGGCAAGTTGAGAAGACGGAAGCAAAAAACAAAGATGCCCCACCATTCAGCTCTAACATCTACTGGGAAACATCCAGTTAGCCCAGGTTGCTTAGAATATAGGGTCTGAGAATAGCTTCAGTACTGGCACATGGCAGAACAGCAAAAATGAAAACAAAGCACAGACGTGATGCACCAGGCAGGTCCTTGCTTCATGAGGACACAATCTTCCTCTGCCACTTGCAACCTTAACAGAGAGGCACAGAGAAACACTGTGCTCCATGTGGGCACAGGATGAGCAATAGAGAGGGACTTACTGCATCGTCGGCTTCTGCCATCTTCTGCAGGTCAGTGCTCACCCCTGGGGAGTTCAATTCACAGTTGCCTGCCCAGCTGAGCTGGCAGTGGATCCTCGGCAGCTGCTGGAGCTGGGTGAAGGGTCAGGATAAACTGAGGCACCGTGGCAGCACCTGTGAGATGTCAAATAGTACAAACATGGTCCTCAACTCCCGTGCAGTCTCACTAAACACTATTTCCTATTCTAAAACAAAAACATCACCGTTATCTGTATTTAAATGTAACAGAACTAAGAATGAAGGAAAAGTAAGGAAATTACAGTACTGTTCATTGTCTCTAACCAACAGCTCTTTTTTTTTTTAAGTAATTTTTATTTATTTATTTTTTTAAAGATTTATTTATTTATTTATTTATTTATACAAGCACTGGGTACAGTCAGAAGCACGGGAGGGTGAGAGAATTCACCAGAGCCAGAGCGGGGAGCGGAGCAGGCAGAAGGACCGAAGTACACTGCTGAGGGGAGCAGCGGGCGGCAGGAGAGGTCTGCGCGCCATGTGGGACCCTCCTGTGGTGGCCGGGGAGCAGCCGGGGATCGAACTGGCGCTGCAGAGGCTACGGGCAGCTTCGCAACCCAGCGCTCAACTGCTGTGCCACTGGGGAGGCCCTCTAACCAACAGATCTTAAAGGATCTTCTGAGATTGACTCAACACGATAAAGACCATTATAAGATTAGAGTCATTTGATTATTTTAACTATTTTTTTTTCTTTGAAATATTATTAACTGTTTCCACGATTTGGAAGATAAAAAAGTAAAACAGTATCTTTTGCCATCTTCCCTCCCCATGACACTTTGAAAGTTTATCAATTATTTTGTATTTTTGAGGTTTGTAACACTTGTAGTCTTCTCTTAAATTATCATTCCCACATTTCGAAACAAATATGTGTGTTCTATATTTAAAAAAGAACATGTTCCAGCAGTTCTGCATTGTTATTTTGGCTTGGTTTTGTTATTTTTGCTATTATTGCTATTTGGTCTGTAGTTTTAAAGCTCGGTTGAAGTGTGACTCCTTGGTTTCAATTCACCTCTTGCATTGCCTGGGTTTCGTCACCAAAGGAACTTTTTTCAAGAAGAGCTCAAATATGCTTTATTCTTTGTGCCTGCCTGAGATGTTGGTGTCTTGCCTTTATTCTCAGAACACAGCTTGGCTTGGTATAAAATTCTTGAGTCTGGTTCACATTCTTCTAGCAAAGCTTTTATATCCATTGCTTCCTTTGACCAGCACTGGGCTCTGCCTGAGTCCAACCTTGCCTTCTTCCACTCACCCTAGTGGCCTGGATTTCATCAGAATTCTGTTTTCAAGGTTTCTAAAGGCTTCCACTCCTTTGAGTTCTTCCTGTTGAGGAATATCTGCCAGTTGTTGGGAGGGGTTGCGGAGGGGTGGGTGGCAAGACTGCTCCATTTATCTATTTGTTTTTTATTGAGGCGACATTGGTTTTCAACACTGTGTCTAAAGGTACAGGACACTTATCAGGCTTGTGGGGGCCTTCAGCTCACTTCTTGCTCCGTGGGGAGCCTTCTGCCGATTTCAAGCAGTCTTTATTGAAGGATGGTCCCTGTTCTAAAATGGCAAGTCGGATACTCAAATTTCCTGCAAACTTGTCCAACCACTATGGAGGGCTGTGTGGAGATTTCTCAACCTACTAAAGATGGAGCTTCCATAGGATCCAGCAATTCCACTCCTAGGTATTTACCCAAAGGACACAGAAACATCAATTCCAAAGAGCACCTGCACCCCTATGTTTATAGCAGCACTATTTACAATAGCTAAGCTTTGGAAACAACCCAAATGCCCAAAAATAGATGACTGGATCAAGAAGATGTGGTACATATACACCATGGAATATTACTCAGCATTCAAAAAAGATAAACACATGCAGTTTTCAGCAACATGGATGGAGCTAGAAAGGATCATGCTCAGTGAATTAAGTCAGAAAGAAAAAGAAAAATATCAGATGGTCTCGCTCATAGCAGGAATTTAGAAAACCTAAATAAGGAACCAGGAAAAAGACTAATTAATACAAAGTAAAAATCAAAATCAACAAGCAACTATGGACCAGAGACACACCACTTGGGCGGGGGTGGGGGGGAAGAGAGGAAGGATTAGGGTCAAAATAAGAGGGGGGTGCAATTGTATAGGGAATATAACCAAAATGATAATGCATACATTGTGCAAAAATGAAAAATGAGGTAAGAATTATATAAAATAAAATATTAATTAAAAAACAAACAAACAACAAAAAAATAAAGGTACAGGATCCCACCTCTTCAGGTGTACGTGACCACGTCACACCTACCACCACCACACCTACAGTCCTCCCCCACAGTCCATTGGGCCTCCTCACCACTCTGCTCTCCCCCTCCCCCTTACCCTCTAGTAGCCTCAACTCTACAGTCCGATTTCTGGGGTTTGCTATTGGTTTGGTTTTATGTGACTGTTTTGCTTCAAGTGTGCCATGTATAACTGAAACCATGCGGTATTTGTCATTCTCCTTCTGACTTACTTCCCTTACCATAATCCACTCCAGTTCCATCCACGTTGTCACCAATTCTGCCAGTTATTTTTAAACCCAAGCAACAAGCTGGGAATCAGGAAAGGATCCCAGAAAAGGGCGTCAGAGAGTGGGCCAGGATTCATGAGCGTAACAGGACAACTCCTGGGTTATACAGTGAAGGGAGAATTCAGAGGCCAGAGTATAGCCGGGGTCTCTGGTGACCCATGGACAATGAGAAATCCAAGGAATCATGGCAATGCCAGCTGGGTCCTGGGGGTCAGTAGCTCAAGTCTGACTTTTCATTCACTCCCATTCAATCCATCAAGGGAAACCTTCCGTCCCTTTACCTTTCAGAACTGGCTCTTAGAAAACAGTTTTCGGGACGGTGTGTCGGCTAGTCATGCGAGCCTAAAACCGGAATGGCAGGGATGGACGAAAGTCATTTCAGATTTTAGAGAGAATATTCCCCACTTAGAAGGCCAAGATTTGGGTCCACTAAAGGCACAGGATAGAGGTGCCACACAGGTTGCCCCTAAAGCTTATCAATTCCACAAGATTTCACCTTGCCCTGAGGTTTTACCTCAAGCACAATTGCAACAACCCAGTGACTTGTGTGATGTGTTTACAGACATCTCTCTATTTTCACTTAGCATGATCCCCTCAAGTGAAATAAGTCAGGAGAAAGACAATGGATGACTTCGTTCCTATGTGGAACACAGAGAAACAAAGCAAAGGAACAGATAAAACTAAACCAGAACAAACTCTAGAAATCTGACTGCAGAACTGAGGCCACCAAAGTGGAGGGTTTTGCCAGGGGACAAAGTGAGGAGAGGCCCCAGTGGGCCGTGGTGGAGAATTACTGGGGCTGAGGTGGTGGGGGTGGTGTGGCGACATATACCTGAAAGGTGTGAGCCTCCACCTCTGAATCATATGCATTCTTGTCAACCAACACTACTTCTATTAAAAATAATACAATTAAAGCCTCCCTAGTGGCGCAGGCAGTTGAGCACAGCACTATGAAGCTGTCCGCAGCCTCTGCAGCGCAGGTTCAATCCCAGCCGTCCGGGGAGAAAGCCACATGGCGCAGTAGACCTTTCCTGTCTCACCCGCTGCTCACCTCAGCAGTGTATTTCGTCAATCTGCCTGTTCTGTTCCCCACTCTGTCTCTGGTGAATCTGCTCACCCTTCCGCACATCTGGCCTGTACCCTGGTTCTTGTATAAATAAATAAATCTTTTAAAAAAATTAATAAATAGGGCCTCCCCAGTGGCACAGCGGTTGAGCGCTGGGTTGAGAAGTTGACTGCAGCCTCTGCAGCACCCGTTGATCCCTGGCGGCTGGGCGAAGGTCCCACATGGCGCACAGACCTCTCCTGCCGCCCGCTGTTCCCCTCAGCAGTGTACTTCGTCAGTCTGCTTATTCTGCTCTCCGCTCTGGCTCTGGAGAATTCTCTCACCCTCCCGCGCTTCTGACTGTACCCAGTGCTTGTATAAATAAATAAATCTTTAAAAAAAATAAAAAATAGTAATACAATTTAAAAAATCAAACATTATAAATAAGAGTCTAGCTCACTAAAAAAACATTTGATTAAATATGAGTACGAGAGTCAGTTTCTCTTTAGAATTTCCTTGCCTATCACTATTATTTCTTGTCCTCTCTCCCAGGAAAAGTGACATTTAAAATTTTTTTTGCATAAATTGCTACACTGGAATTATATTGTTTTATCTTGTAAAATTTTAATTACTTGGCAGATTGGCTAACATTTCCCTGAGCTCCGGCTGTCTGACCGTGTATGTGTTTTAGACATCAATTCCTACTAGAGCAGTCCTTTCCAAAGAAGTTTTGGGGTAGCCACTTATTTATGATGGCAAGTGGAAAATTCTTTGTGAAAAGGGCTCTATTACATATTCCCAACACAGTTTCCAAAAATATCCTCTGTGTATTCACTGCAATAAAAAAAAAAAACACTTTTTTAAAGAAGTACTTAGCTGTAGAATACCTTTTAGTATTTTGAAATCTTAACAAGAGTTTTCCTTTTGCCTATTTGCACACAAAAAAATGTTGGTACACTTTGTGGTCTAATTTTGCAAGTATTCTTAAATTTCTCAGTTTTAATTTCCTATACAGTATAAATTTCTGAGGTGTGAAATAATTTTAAGAGTGCAAAGGGATCCTGAGACAAGAAGTCTGATAAGAATCAATCTAAACAAACTTCACGCCTGAACATGGAGATCTCTGGGGAGCACACTTAAAAAATGAAACAAAATGTATTAAGAGAGGACCATAGCCAAAGAGGAATCCATAAAGTCATACAAAAGCAGAGTTAGGAGCCAAAAATGTTAAACTCAAGATCAAATCCTTGTTTAATCGTTTCAGAAAAAAATAAACATTCTAAGGAGGAAGATGGTCTAAAGGTAAATGGAGACATAGAAGAGTGGTTCCAATATTACTTATACAGTGGAAAACAAGCACATCTGTGTCCAGTGGATTTATTCTGGACTAAAGAAAATAAATTTGTGCACTGTTTCCTTTTTGTTATTGCAGAAAGGTATAGGTATGGAATATCACATCCCCTCTTTAGAGTGGGTGGGCAGAAGACAGAACCTTGCGCAGACAGAAGGCAGGTATGGGCTCGAGTGAGCGGTTAGTGGCTATGTTGGAAAAAGGCAGTTGATACATTTTTTTTAATTATGTGTAAAACTCTACCAAATGCAACTTACCTTTAAACTAAGGGTTCTTAATACATCTTTTATGATTAGATGTCACAGGATCTATGAACATTTCACTAAAGTGCCTAAAAAATGCTTATATGATCATTTCTCTGGAAAGATGAGCCCAAACTTTCTTAAGAAAGTTTGAGTCTCAGAAGATTCTTAAAACACAAGCTATGACTAAGTTTTAAAATAACATTCAATGGAAATGGCTAAGCACGTCAGTGCAGCAATTTTTAAAAGAATGTCTTTGTCATCAGCATCATTGTAATGAGGTCCAAATTTAAGAATGGTTCTTTTTTCCTTATTTATAATTTACAAATATATGAGGCTATGGAAATTTAATCATAAATGTCTTCTATAATTCACTTTAAAGAATGTTTGATTTTTCAGAGAGTTGTCAATGTTTCCAACATAAACAAGGTAAGTGAATAGTATATATTGTTTAATTGGGGAAAACTCACATTCTTTTCATGTTTACCTTACAAGAAAATGTTTCAAGACAATATGGAAAGCAGCTGATTAAATGAGTAAGATTTATGATGATGTGCATTTCATTAAGCCTTAGTGTTCTTTGCTTAAGCTCTGTGTCTTCTAAGACTAAAATGGGGAATTTCCTGTCTATTTTAACTTTGGGCTTAGTCAAACTTTCCTCTATTTTTTATTCAAATGGAAAAATTATTAAACTGAAATGCACAGAAAGACATTTTGAAGACATTTTGAACACATGGAGAAGACTCGGATGTTACTAACAAAAAATGGATGTATTAGGACTATAGTTATTAGTCAAACTAAAAATAATGACCACATATCTTTATTTTAGTCAGTCCAGCTACAGCTGTTGTAATGAGGTTAAAAAAAAATTACAAAGTTTCAAAGGCAACTTTTTCGATAGTAGCTTCATCACTGTAGAGCCTAACATTTTCAACAGTAGGGACTTCCTGTGACAGAAATCCAGAGCGATTCGGAACCCAAGACTAATGAACTGACCTCACAGAACTCAGCTCTTTCAGCTGTGCTCCCCACGGCTATTCCCAGGGTGCAGTTCTTGCCTCAAGTTCCAAGGGGGCAGCAGGATGATAAATTTAAAAAGGCCCCTCTCCTCCTGGCGAGGAACATTCCCAGAGTCCTACAGTCTGCTCATGAGCCAGAAGGCCGTGACCACCATTTGAGATAGAGAGAATGGCTCCCTCAAAATGTCACCCAAGCCCTGGAAGTTGCAAAAACATTAAATCGCATGGGCAAACAGGACTTTGAAGGTGTAATCAAGGTTACAGATCTGCAAACTGCTAAACTCTAACCCAGATTATCCAAGTGCAGGCAACTGAATTATAGGATTTCTTAAAAGCAGAGACCTTTCTCCAGCTGGAGGCAGAAGAGGCAGAGGCCCAAGAGTAAGTGGGAGGGACTGCAAGCAGGAGTGGACACACACCTGTCCTGCCCAGGACAGGGGGACCATTGGCTGGGATGTCAGGAGGCCTCTAGGCATGAGGGCAGCCTGCAGCTGACAGCAAGCAGGAACCAGAGTCCAAGAAATTCAAAGAGCTGAATTCTGCCGACCCCCCAAGTAAGTGTGCAAATGGGTTCCTCCTGGACTCTCCCAGTAAAGAAGTCTCCTTGAGTCTGGCTTTGTGCAATCTGGAATACAGAAACATGTGCTATTCTAAGCTGCAGATGTGCTGACTGTTACAGCAGCCACAGACAGGTGATTATCCTGAACACACAGCAGCAATGGAGGCTGGGAAATGCTATCCTTCTTCCAATGCATGGCACTATATGTGGCTGAGAACTCATTTGAACAAGAATGTGGAGGATGTGTGTTAACAGCCAGTCTTTGACAAAGAAGGGAGGTCTGGAATAGTGTAAGTATAATGTGGGTTAAGTATCTTTTAACATTAAATGGAATAGAAGCAAAGTTAATGAAGGTAGTTGTCAAAGAGGTTCAGAAATTAAGGACCTTTCAATATATCAAACTCATTACTTTCAATTTTGCCACAGAGTGTCCAAGCCTCCTACCATCAAGGCTGTCTCTCATGGATGAAAGTGGCAATGGGTCAGTTCATAATTTTTTTTTAAGTCTGCTACATTTGGAAAACAAAATACTACATGCACACCTAATGGAGAGACAAATGTACATCTGTTGGCCCATTATTTTTATGCAGTCTGACCTTTCTTTAAATGTCTGGAAAGTCATGGTTTGCATGCTTTATAAGATGTCCAGTTTGAGTTTCTCTGAAACAGAGCAAAGACTTAAACCCACAATGCCATCCAAGTGCTTAATCTTTTCCAGTTTCTTGATTCCTTCCCACTACTCGCCTCTTCTACAACCACTTCATCACCTGTCCTTTCACCTGCATACCTTTATGTTTTTCAAAAGATTCACCTTCACTCCCTACAACTGCCACTCACCTCACCCCCCTACTTGACCATGTACTTTGGCTTTTATTAAACTCAATGGTCCCAAAAATGAGTTCTAGGTGCATGGCCAGATCTGACTGTCGATGAATGTGAGGGGTATACTTGAGGGGACCTAGAGCTTGGATTTGGGGTGCAGTAGATGGGAATCAGCATAGCTTAACTGCATGGAACCATTCAAAAGAGGAGGAACAGAGGACTTACCAGGTTCACCACACCAATAGGAGACGGGTGAAAAGAAATGATCTCTCTTCTTATGCACTTGGTTCCTGCTGTCATTGAGACCTCTGAGCTTGTTCTCTCTCCGTCATGTTGAATCATCAGTCACTTCTCACACACCACAGACTGTGATACCCAGAAAAAAAAAAGAAAGAAAACTCAGACACTATTTCCTTCTTCTTTTGGAAAGATCTCATTCCTTTGTGAGGCATGTCTGAGAGGAAAGGGGATGTGAGGGAGACCCCACAGGGACCAGCACACACAGGATGTGGGAGCAGGCAGGCACCCAAGGCGCTGCACCCCTCGTTTCTGACACAGCCACCTTAACGAGAATTTCCAGGGAGAAGAACATTAGTTTCTAGTCAAACAATTTCAAAAGTTCACCTTTAGGCACTAAACTCGATCTGCTATAGAACTTGTTAGGTCCTGACTTCCCAGACTGATTCTTATTATAATTTTCATTTGAGAATGGTTTCTTTCTGGCACTGAGCTTTAAGGTTCTCTTACTGGATTCATCAAGCAGCTTTAATTTATCTAATTGAACTTATGAAAAATATTATCGACAACATTTCAATACTGGAAAAGATTTTTCAAGAAAAAAAATGAACCAGGTCTCTGAGCATTCCAAGGAAACTGTTTTCCTTTTAAATTCTCTTCCAGGGTTTTGTCTCTATGCATGCAGAGTTTTGACATAATTGTAAACACTGTGTACACTTATATTACATTATACTTTCTACATCTGACATGATATGATAAACATCCTTCCATGTTTGTTAAGGAGTTCTCACAATTACCATTTGGAGGATTCCTTTCCAAACTAACATATGCTTCATTTTAGGATGAGATTCTCTGTGCCATAGCCTTAATTTTCTTACTGCAACACGCAGATGCATGATCATTACCTATATGCTAGCGTTGACTGCACGGTGAAGAGCTTGGCTTCGGAATCACAAAGCTTCCCAGTGAGTTCAGGCTCTGTGGGACTTTGGGTAGACATCGTGATCCACTCTCTGAGGTTGTCATCTGCAATTTGGGGGCAAAAGAGTACTTAAGCCATGGGAAAATTGCCAAAATAAAATAACGCATATAATACAGTTGCACCCAGCACCTGACACATACTTAGTGAATGGTAGTTGTTATGAGAGAATACTCATTCTGCATAAGCTCGCAATGCCTTTCAACCCTCACACTCAGAATATCTCACAATTTTCAAGTGAGGATTAAGAGGGAAGGAAAGTCAATAGAATTGAGTTGCCCTCAGATACGGCCCCCAGCCATATCAGCTCTGGACCAGCACCCACGGCCCTCCCAGCTGGGTCACCTGCTCTAATGGGCCTGGCCCTGGCTCCTCGGTAACAGATCAGCTCCCCAGGCAGCTTTGGGCCTCTGGGGGCTCAATACCAAAATGTCATCACTTTCACCCGCTATGTCCCCAAAGCAGCCTCATGTGTCCACACTGGCCTGGACACTGGCCTTGCTTCCAGTGTGGCTCACCTCCTCACACATTCTAACTGGGCTTTACTGTTTCAGCTCATCTTCCTTGGCCTGGGTTTACACAGCTTCAAAATTAATGTTAAGAACATTTGGATTTCAAAAAGAGATTGTGGTGGAAGAAAATGTCGCTTTGGGTGGAGAAGAGTCTTCCAAGTACTAAAGTGAATAAATAAATTTGAACCGTTTGTTTAAACTTGTTTTCCATTGTATTTATTTACTGTTACAAATCCTTTACTGAAGCAGCCTTAAATACAAACACATTTGAAACAAGAGCGTTTTTAAACATATGCACAGGCATTATCCAAATATATATATAATAAGCCCTTGCCCCAGCGTCAGCCAATTTCGTTCAGTTTGGCAGGTTTCAGAACCAATTCTTCAGGAGAGGGGCCCGGTGCGATCACAAACCTCATCATATTTGACAGGTTTATCACCCAGGCCCCCACAAACCAACCTGCGCTGACACAAGGATTGAAGGAAACCCATTTCGACCACCACAGAAAAGGCAAATGAAATTGAGACGGGCCCTCCTCTGCACGCTGGTGTCTGCAACTGCAAAAGCACCATCTGTCAAAGCCCATGCTGGCCGTGGGCTCCGTTAGCCACATCCTAGTCTGCGGGTGCCAAGTCCAAAGTTATGACTTTGGACTCTCTGGGTCCTTCTCACACCACAGCATACAATAGGGGATTGACCGCCATTCAGGACGAGAGGCAGAGAATACAAACTGAGGAGGGTTGAATGGGGATCGTGTGACATCACAGGATCATTTTAAACCCAATTACACTGATGAGCTATCGGTGGTTTCTAAACTGGTGAAAGCTTTATTTGCGGCATTTAGAGGTTGCTTGGGATAAAAATAATATCTGATTAAAATTGAATTTGTAAAACTCAACCTCATAAACTTATGCTATGGTAAACCACAGACCAAAGCAATTCTCTGAAATGAAGTCTCCTTGTGTTTTCAGGGCAAAATATAAGAGATACCCAACTGGGGCATTGTGAGGGAGGGACATGAGCTGCCGGGGATCCCAGACCCACTGCAGCCATTGTTAGTTAGGGAGCCCTTGCTCAGAATTAGCATCAGTGAAAGGTCTGGTCAATGAATGAGAGATGTTATAAATGGGGGAGAGGCTGATTATAAAGGAGAAATTACAGAAAGATTATTTCCAGAAAGAGTGGGGTCTTCCCTGGGGTCTTAATCCTAGTCCCTAGGATTAAGTGGTTTGGGTTTTAGACTTCTCTGCTTCTCTCCTGCTCGATCCTACCTTTGTGTCCAACAAGCACTTAGGCCACCTCGTCTGGAAATCTTCCCCGGGGAGCCACACCACGGTCTCCTGAGACAGGGCCCTATGCCCTGCCCGCTCCAGCGGAACAGGAGGACTTTTTACAGGGACCTCGCCCAGGTGCCCAGTACAACCAGGTCTCCGCACTGACCGTTGCCACGCAGCAGGTGGCAGCAGTGCCGCCGCCAGCAGAGCAGGAGGCTGGGATCCATTCTGCCCTTGGCCCTGCATTTGCTCCTTTTTCCTCCCTCCACCATTGAGAGCTCGGCCCTGGACAGGCATTCTGAGCGGTGCGCAGGCCCACAGCTGATGCACCTCCGAGTTGCAACTCTCTGTGTGCTTATCTGGAAAACGGAATCATGCCCTTCCTTCTTCCCCCTATCACAATTTGAAACACGTGGCATAACTGCTGTTCACATGGCAGAACATGTATGTGATGTGTAAAGCGTGTTCTTGGGCGGCAGGAGCATGCATAAGCCATCCTCCCGTCTCCAGCTAGGAGGCTTTCGCTGGAGAGAAGCCTGTCCACACGGACTTACACCTCCCTGGGGGTTTCCTCTGTCTCCCTTTCCGGAGTCATCTATCCAAGGGCCCCGCCTTCCGGAGGGCTCTTGGTCAAGTGGAAAACATGGGGACCCCGTGGGAGAGTTGCACTTTGACAAAGCAAGGGTACGGTGACCACTGGTTAGGAGGGGTTGAGATTGCTTATCTATGGCACAATCATCAGACCAGATTGTGGTTAATAACAAAGCTGGCATTTTGATCTCCATCTATCTGATTCCTTAGTTCATATTTAAAAAGAGGAGGGCATTTTACTTGGGCGCCCCCCAAGCCCCACAAGTGGCATTCAGAACTTCCCTGTTTTAAAGCTCAATAAAAAGAATACGAAATGTACTCTTCTGTTTTATCGTACCTAAATATGTTCTCTTGTTCTACAGCCAACATGTAAACTACACACATTAGGGTTTCTTACTTCAATCATTTGCTGCTTCAGCAAAGGCTGAAATTAAATAATATTTTTTGAAAAAGTACTCAAACTCTTGCTTTTACTGCAAATAACTGGCATGAGAATATGGCATCAGGCTACAAAAATTGGCATCAAAATGAAGTGATTATAATCTGTACCAAAGAATAATTTAATTTGGACTCGGCCTTTTATGGGTCCTCTCCATGCCCCAAGTGGGGAAGTTTTCACTCTTTCCAAAGTAGTCGGCCATATTTCCAACACTGAGTTAACCAACTGAAGCAAAACACAGTTATTTAACTCATTGAATAAAAAGCTGAAGCGTATTTTGCTTTCTTGACTAGCCAAGTCTTATAGCTTTGTATATGTTCTATTTCTTAATGACATCTTAAGCAACTAATTATTTCAAGGCCCTAGGATAATCTTCGATATTCTCAAAATAAACCTTGACATATTTAGTTGCTAACAAGCTACAGCCAAAGGGAAATTTCAGAAGTGTTAATGGGATGGGTCAATGATGTGTACTTTTACATTTTGAGGCCAAAAATTCCTCCTTTTAATCCTAAATTAGCATAATGCTTGGCCAATCTTAAATTAAAATTCAAACAGCATCATCTGTGGCCTCATCTTCACTCCTTTCCCAAGATCATTTAATCAGTAGGGAGATCCATAAACTAAGAATACCAAGTTTATGCCAAGCTGCTTCTTATCCTGATAGTCGTCCTTTTCACCCTGGTTCTTTGTTTTGTTATTAATTTTGAAAATCTCAGCTGCATCCCATCACCACAATCTATGACTCATGCCATAGTCTCATCGTTGGTGTATTCAAGGGTTGGTTTTACTTATTATTTACTTACTATTTTAATTATAACTTTTATCAGCGGGGTAACAACCTATAATTCCACCTCTGATAATGAAGATCTTTGTCCTCAGGGATAGTCAAGCATTATACTCTAGTGGGAGAAAAGAAATTAAATAACAAGCATATTTTTAAGTAAACTGTGTTCAAAGATTTAAAAAATGCTATAAAACACACACACACACGCAAGTAGGATAAGAGAAGCAGGAAATGACGGGAAAGAAAGGTTATAGTACTAAATGAGTTGGTCAGGATAGGCTTCCTTCAGAAAGAAGACAGTCAAACACTTCAAAGAGATGAAAATTTTATCCAAGCAGGTATCAGGGAAAAGATTACCCCAGGTAAAAGGAGTGTCCTGAGGGAAGACCTCATGGTGGGAGAGTCCTGGCATATACATCCTGTTGCAACAGGATGGGAGGAAATCTAAGAGAGTGTGTTATTCTGGAAAGCAGGTGAAGAAGTTTATTAAGGAAAAGGGAGAGATCAAATTTCCTTCCACTGCTTATGCTAATCTCCCAAGAATTGTAAGGAGTAGAAATGAGGATAAAATTCAAAATCTAATCAAGTTGAACCTTTTTAGAAGACCGTAAGATTAAAGTTGGTAATGATAAGAGGTTATTTACAAAATTCATTTGAGAATTTTGGGAGGACTTCACTTCCATGTTATTCATATTTTTGACTGCCAAAACGTTTTCGAGTTTCATGTCTGCAACTTAGAAATCGTTTTAAAAAAGAACAGATTTGGTGGAAACCTGGGACCTCTGGCATAGCTAAAGAGATTTCAGTTATTAATTACAATAAACAACTGGGTACATAATGACATAGTTTACAATGAAGCACATTTCCTCTTGTGAAAATAATTGATTGCCTGAAGACTTGCCCGTGCAATAGAATATTATGTAGGCGTTAAGAGAGAAGTGTCTGTATTCCTTCTTGTAAACAATTTTCCAATATGCTCCCACTGAAACAGGCTGGTTAGAATAACATGCCTAATTATTATGTCAACATAAACTTAGAGAAAAAGTCAGATGACACTCCTAAGAGAATATTAAATAATACAAAAATATTCAATAATACAAGCCCTTCTTGTACTGCTGAGAATTCAAGTGATTATCTTATCTCCTATTCTTTTCTGCATTGCTTAAATTATATCTAGTATGCATTTTATAATTAGAAAAAGTGTAACAAAGCCATTCTTATTTTGACTCATAAGAGAGGCAACAATCAAGAAAATAACGAAGTTATAACACAAATATATAATGTTAGTGAGCAGTTCCTGTGAGCAGCCCAGAAGCACACTTAGAATGGGAAATTTGAACCTTCATTTGTCACTCTTTTGTTTGTGTGGCTTCAAGCAAATAATAAGGTCATTTGCATGACTGCTGTCTCATTGCAAAAAAAAAAAAAAAAGATAATAAAGAG